TAATAACGTTGCCAACTTATTCTGAGGCAGCATACAAGACGTTGCGAGGAGTTATTATGAAAAGAAAATCACAGAAAGATATATCAAGCTCGGCGAGCGAAATCAGAGCTAGCAGTGCGAGTTGGCAAACTTCGCAAGTCGACGATGCGACTCGAAGTCGCAGTTCGCGAAATCGAATCGGGAGTACGGTCACTCGTCGAGCCTAAGGGTGGTCATCACCTCGGCCTGTCGGAAGCTCCTTATCGGTGGTGTGAAGGACTGAAGTCCCCGCGAAGTATTCTAGACCGCCACTCGTTCATTCGTCTGATTTATCCGCCGTGGAAACGTCTCAGCACCGTAAATCATGAGTCATCTTGTCGGGCAAATATTATCCTACTTCTTACAACACATTATCGAACGACGCCACTTGACGATTGCGGGAGGAGACTCCAGATCTCTTGAAGCCTCTCGACTACTTTTTCGCATATATGTATGTGTTCTTTCCCCTTCGTCGCACCGCGCGAAAGAAGAGCCAGCCGCTCTGATTTAAGGTTGAGGGCCATCAGGGAAGGGGACAGAACTCGAGTCGATTCTAGCTTTGCTCCGGATTAGTGAGACGAGCAGTAGTGATTGAGGACGACCTCCGCGAGAAAAAAACTGGGAGATAGGTGTAGTATCCTGGTGAACACACCCGTGGTTCTGGTGATCGGGAGCCCCGACTGTTTATTGTAGCTCTCTTATATCAGTAAGCGAGGCACCGTGTATCATTCCGCGACGGTCCCCTCGCTCCCCTCTCCGAAGTCTCTATCGAACACAACCGCTCTCAACGATTGACAGCTGACATATGACTGCCTCGAACCCTCGACACTACAATAGGGGGCTCGAGGGTTCCGGTAAAAGCTAACAGCGCTTCCTCTGCGATCGGCGATGAGCGTCAAGATCCTCTCACCCAGAGTGATCGGGGTCCCCGCTCTGTCGAAAATAAAATGTGAATGGTTTCCATGTCGATTCCACGGGGAATACCCGAGGTGTTTGGAACTCCTCCAAGAAAATGATGATATGACGAATCGGATGAACCCATTGTGATCTCAGAAGTGAGACAAAGAGTCTGACTACGAAGTTTCATTCCCTTGCATGGCAGATGGATCGCAGCTTATCGGCCTGCCAATTCCGCCACAGGAGATGGAACGAAAGTCGCAATAGCGTTGAAAATTGAGTATTTGATTCCTTTTTCGGCCCAAATTATTCCAGGTACGCGTCATAAGGGCCATGAATATGACTTTTCTAGAAATTCAATGAAGCAAAGAACTAGTAGATGCTCGAAAATGTACGACAGCTGTCAGAAGACCAAGAACGTCGCGTGAATGAGCTCTCAGCTCTACGCAAAGTCCCGAGTCTCCTTTCTGCTCAACGGATGAATAGCTTCACTACCAGACTTGTTTCGAAACATCTGATCTGCGGGTCGGAGCGCTGCTTGAATCCCGTTTCTGGTTCCGAGCGAGCTCGCACTCGAGTCCGGATTTTTCTGGAATCTAACGAGCACCGAAGCTCGAGACATCTCTGAACTCTCATCGTCAGCCACGAAACCCTCAACCCGAGATATAGCTCGCACTCGTTGGAAGGATACTTCACGCTTCTACGGCTCCAAAATGACAAAAGGAAGCCGACATCCCCTGACTTGTGGTTTGGCGGGCAGAAGAGAAGCGTCGTAAGACAGAAAGATGAGCCGATCGGCTCGAGCCATGACCGGAAAGAGGCCGCTGACTCCGGTGGCGAGTTCGAGGATTCTCCGGCAGTCGCAGTCTTTCCCTCCGGTGGGCGCGAATGAGTGTCCTTCCCTTATCCCGAAATTGCTAAACGAGTCAGAGGGATGAGTCGAGCTATCGTCGGATGAAATAATCGGACTCCAATAACATTAGTCCAGCGCTGCGCGGACTTCGTCTTTCGATTGTGGGTGAGGGGTGATTAAATGTTTCGCAGTTGCGGGGGGAGGAAGAAGAATTAATACTCAGAAGGGGAGCTCTTGTGAAATCTACAAGAAGATTTTGTTGCAAAAATGCAACGAGCCGTTCAGTTTACGCCCCTTCGATAGTTTTGCAGTCAGTCGATCGCGGGGCCTGACGGTCGTCAGTCGCATCTCCCCGACAGTGAGTTGGCAAACACGATCTTCACTTTTAATGCGCTGAGGCAAGACACATTTTAGGCTGACGATTTCCCGCAAGCCTGCGTGACGTTGTCAAGCCCGAATTCCGACGGCTGCGCCCATAGGAATCCTGTTTTGCGGAAGCTTTCTCGCAGAGGCGACGGGTAGGCCTCGAAGTCCGAATAAATTCGGGATACCGGTACGCCGGTATTCCACTTGACCAAAGGTGTCCATCGGTCTCGGGAAGGTCGCGGTCGACAAGCGAACGTTCGACCCATAGACGGACGACGACTTTGGCGAAAGCGGGGATTGTCCTGCAATGTAGTTCTTGAATCGAAGAGGACTCAAAATAGCCCCGTAATGTTCGAGCGGCACCCGAGACCGAGTCCAGGCTCTTTCCTAACATGAGGAAGTCGGCCAAGTTTTCGGAGGAAAAAACGAGTTCTATTCTCGCAGTCCGGTCATGCTCTAGAAACCGGAGTGGAAACTTCACCCAGCGACACTCAGGGGATTGACAGCGATCGAACTCAAAAAGTATACGTTGGGCCCTTCATCGGAGAAGTGTTGAATGCTGCTGGAAGTCGTTCTGAGTCAGAACTGCAGCGAGGGGTATTTGCCCGAAACGACAGTGGCAAAATGACTCTCTGGGAATTTTCAACTTTCGAAAGGCCATCTGTTCGGAAAGCGTAATTGCCCGATAAGTGGGTAAGCCCGCTTGCCCATTCCGATTCTATTCTATAGGATTCCACAGGATCTTGTTGAATTTTCATTGAAGGATTTCGCCATCACGAGGGTCAGCCATCCCTCAAACTTCGGATCCTTCTTTCTGTAACGTCCATGTTCCAGAGCGACCGTTTCCAAGCGGGATCGGCGATGATGAGCATCGAGTTCGTTCAACCCGTGGCCGACGAACTCGCTGCAAGCGTTTCGCTTCTAGAGACATTCTCGTTTTCCCGTTGTGAGTCAGTTCCCAATGAATCCCATCCACACGGCCGAAAAACGAGCGGACGACAGAGCTCAGACTCCCCTATGTCTCTCATAGGGGTTGAGGTCACCCGCGAGGCCGAATCTCGCACAGGGCTCTGGTCGAAGCGTTCGAACGAATCGACGATCGGGAATTTGTGCAAGAGGCATCGGTAAGTGAGTCTTAGCGGCTCCGGAGGAGGCGCAGCGCGAATGAACTCTTGGAACGAATCAGCCGAAGCACGATGGAAAATAAGTTGCAGCCAACTTTGCCGAACGGCCGACAGAGCCCGTAATCCAGTCGGGTAGTGTTTAAGCTGGAGCCAACACGACTCGATGTTCTAAAGGCCATTGGGGCTTGCTTGCTGGTTGGTCTGTTCGTTCCTCCGTTCGTTCGTTCATTTGTTGGCCTGCTTGCTCGTTCGTAGCCGGCTAGCCAGGCAGCCCGCTGTCTGGATTGCTGGCGAGCTGTCGGTCCGACGTCGTCGGTTGGCTGCGTGGCTGACTCAAGTCAATGTAGCCCAAGGTTGGTTATTGCGGAGCCCCGGCCCAGCGCACAGAACACCACAAGCACCGTCACGACGCGATATACGATGCAGCCCGTAGTGAATGCGCGCGCACTGATCACATATACGCGCAATGAAGCCCACGATAAGAATAAAGAGAGAAAATGCCACCCGTCACTACCGAGAAGTCGATCCGCTGAAAGCTATCTAAGCGAAAAACAGCTTGTTAATGGCGGCGGCCAGCGGTGGCGGCGCAGCGACGTTGTCGTCGGCTGCTTGGCAGTTTGAGGCTTCCAGAAGATCAAAAAACAACTTCGTGGCCAAGGGTCCAGAAAGCGATTCCCAGGTCTCGTCGAAGAACTTTCGGAACTACGTATCGGAGTGCTGGCGCGGAGAAGCCCTCGCGTCAGAGGAAGTCGCCGACGAAACGACCGCTCCGGTTGGAAACCATCCGAATCGGCGATCGGAGCAGAAACCGTGAAGTGCGATCGAGTTGATGATCCCGCGCTTCCACAGAAAAAGAAACCGCACTGCGTCGCGATCGTCCGACCCATCAACGTTCCTCCGAACCGGAGCCCGACCGCGCAGATCTCGGTCTCTTTGAGATTTTCGCCTCCGTCAGCATACGAAGGTCTCGGACCTGCTGCGCCGCTGATAGCTCATTGACGCTTTTTCGTGCGTGGATCCGACCAATAGAGAAGCGGAGCGAGGCCCAACATTCCTTGGAAGCCCCTCTGGGGCTACCACGTCGTCGATCCGAAAGCTTCTACGGGCTGTCTTCGAGCAGCCTTCGTCCCAGCTGGACCGACCGCGACGTCGAAACGCAGAGCGTCAAGCCATCAGATCAACTGCTTGCTATTAGATCCGATATGGCCCCGAACGGACAAATCGTCGCTCGTCGCTGGGAAACGATACATCCAATACGCTACTGCTCAGAACGATCACAGAATCGTAGTTTGACGATCGAATCACAGCGGGCGAACTCGACGAGGTCTCGACCAGGGCCTAGCGCCCGGATTGACGGGGGTCTCTTCCAGCGAGCGGCGAGCCAGCAATTCAGCCGGAGCTCGGAAAAGCGGCTCCGGCTTCGGTTCGATAACAACTCGGTCGTGACTGTGTGGCCGGCTCAAGGCTCTCGCAGGATTCGGATCGCAGAATCACAGAAACTCCGCAAAACAAAAACCGCTATTCCGTCTGCGCACAGATTAGTCTTCGCACTCGTCGCGCCGCGAGCGGCCGATGAGACTAACGCAGGAACGTATCCACTCGTGTAGGGGATCAGGGTGAATTTCTGAGCAGATAATCCGATGGGAAGACACACATGCGAATCCTCAGGCGGTCCGGATCGCGGGGAAAATCCGCTGCGATCGATTATTTCGAAAGAGTTTTCAATTTGGGTGAATAGTTACCTGATCTTGTGTCAAACGCTCGTCGCACTTAGTTAGTCCAAAGAGGCGGAGAGACCGAAACCACTAAAACTTGTATCTTTTTCCAATCCGGAACGATCCACGCACGCTCACGAAATACGTCCGCGTGCCACAGAGACTTTCTTCTGAAGGTGCACAGCTCGGCTTCGGCTATTGGACCTTTGGAGAGGGAGTCCGGACCTTGACTCTCTCGCCACCGGCTTCGTCTGGTGCTGGCTCCTACTCCCGGCGCTGGAGCTGCCTGACCTTGACTTCGGCAAGGAGCTACGACGAACCGACACAAGAAGACCGACAACTTCTAACTTCCGTGCACTCAGAAAAACTGGAGAGCTCAGTTCCTCGCCGAGATCGATACTCAGGACCGAGATCTATTGATTTGATTCTCTGAAGACGGCAACCGTCCGCTATATGAGGATCTGTACGAGCGAATTTTGGAGAAGGCGGAGAGGAGGAACATCTCGCCGTGAACGAAGCGAAAGCGAACGTGCATGCTAGTCAGGGGAATCCGGGGCAGAGACTCGGGCTAGGCATCGCTCGACTGATCTATTGATCTAAATCTTCTGACGGTAGGATACGATCCGAAGTCAACTCACATGGGCGTCCATGAGTGATCGGGGCTCGATCTGGAGGGATACGTACCCGACAATGGACACGTAGCGTTCTGGAAGGTCTACGATGCGTCATCGACCGTTTCTCTTGAAGCCGCGCGCGATTCTTACTGAACCCAAACGTTGCGCAATGACTCAAGTCTCGACAGCCGGAGCCTGCCAAGTGTTCTTCACCCGTTCTCATTTGAGATCTGCGCCGAATAATAATAGAATGCCACGTCGCAGATCTCTTCGTCACGAACGACCGGCACCGAGTTGGCCGGACTTTCCCGAAACGAATGGTGACCGAGAGTTCCGTCTCAGAAATTCGGAGCTACATAGGAGGGTATGTTACCTATTCGGATGAGGGCTAGCTGAGCGAAATGGGAGCGCTCTTCGCCGTCCTCGTCGCACGGATGATCCGCGCGCGCGCTTTTCAAGGTTCGCGAGGAACACTTTGACTCGCATATGTGTGATTGATGGATTCTGTTGGTAAATGTTTGAACATCAAGTCATTCGTAGAGCAAATAGGGAAGTGCCGTCTTAAAAATGCAGAAACTCCCTCGACTGGAAACATGTTTCTGTGTGGACGTAATACGCAGCAGGGCTTTTCCACGTCTGGAGCGGTCACGAGCTTCGAGCTCACCAGCGTTTCTCCTTCAGAGACTCAAGATATTGAGACCGGCATTCAGTCAGTCGACATGGGTACTCAGAACGAGAAGCAATGAAAGGGGATTGAAGCTTCTGAGAGAACTCGGGAGGCACGCTAGTGCGGAACAGTGCTTGGAACAAAGATGCAAATTCAGCATTCCATCACAGTTTCCGACCGATCCGTCATACATTCCTCTACTCCCTCCAGAGCATGCCGGCTCCTCTTCATCGACCGCGAAGAGGTCTCAGCTTTCTCGGGCATGACACGTCAGAGCGTCGCTTCCATGAGCGATTCACCGCGATGAACTTGTACGTGGCTCTGATTTCTGTTTTTTCTGCGTGAATCAGCGCACTTTCTGGTGGCTACGGAGTTCTGCCGACCGATTGGGTTGGCTCGTCCGTTCGCCGCCATACACTGCTGGTGACTCAGTTGATATGTCTCTGATTTGCTACGTGGCGTTTTCTACTTGCTTTCTACGACCTTCAGCAAGGTCGCATTCGTCGATCGCTCACTCGGTCGTCGTCGTCGTCGACTAGTTCCAGCGGCGTTGCTGCTGCTGCGGCGAGCCGCGGTGCAAGGGAAAAACCCGTCATCACCGACCGCGGCTCAGTCAGAAGATTCCCCCAAATCGATCCGGCCCGCGGCGCGTTTGAGGAGAACCTATTATTAACCTCTGGTCCCATCATTGTTATGTCGACTACTATCGCCGCCACCGCTGCTGCTGCTGCCGCAACAGGAGAAAAAGACGGCGAGATCCCCCTGCAGAGGACAGACATTGTTCGATGGGACAGAATTCTTTCCTCGAGAGGGGGCAAAGTTTTTTTTAATTGTTGATCTTTTGGCTCCTTCAAAAAGCAAGAATCGGGGTGAATGCTTTTGAGCTTCGAGGCATGCCGTTTCCCCAGAAGTCAAGTAAAAGAAAGATGCGGAATACGGTCCACCAGAAGTCTCCGAATCCTTCAGCGTTCTTATCTGTTTCATTGATTCGTAACTTTCCCTCTTCTCACAAGCGTTACCGCACTTGCGATCACTTTCTCGAGCTGTTTCGATAGCCGATACGCGTCAGCCGCGTCAAGTTCCCGCAAACTTCAAACTTCAAGGAGAAAGCGACCTGAGAGAATTTTACCCGCAACAATTCAAAGTTCGATCGCTCCCACTAAGTAATTGAACTCCTGGGCTGGCGATATCGAGCTCCGACTTGAGTTCTGAGTCGAAGCCTAGCGATTGATCTGCTCCTGCTCGACCCGGCGAGTTATATAACAGTTCAAGATAGGGTTGCCGGAGTCACACAGAAATTCACGGCAGTCCCACGTCGGCATTCCGTAACAGTGGTAGTAGGAGAATAAGCTATAGCGACAACAGAATTGAGGATAGCGGCAGCGGCAGCCACAAGGCTAATCTTAATCTTGTGCATGGATAACAGAATTCTTCAAGAGCAACACCAGCAGCAGTAAAGATGGTGGCAACTGCATCTAAGGCGATGCCAAATAAATACAGGGCCGATTGAAAGAGTTTTGGAGCAGGCGCGCACACTGACGTTGTCCGTCCGTTCGTCCGTCTGTCTGCTTACTCATGTGTGTTTAGTGGCTCTTTGGGTTCGCTGGCATATACAGAAAACTAACGCTGTTGCGCAACACTGTTCGCAAACGAAGGCCTCGCCCCATGGGCCGTCTTCTGCCGCGATTCTCTCAATCGTTTGGCGCGAAGCGCTCTCAGGGAGACTCTGTTCGCCGAGGATGCGCGCACTCCACAACGCGATCAAAGAGAATTCCCCGAGACGTCAAGCCCCCTAGTCCCCGCTTCTGAAGGCTTACCGTTCTGATGACTAATGCGGATTTCTCTCTGATCTGATCAGGATTTGCATTTCTCAACGTGGAACACGTCCCGATCGCAAGCCGATCTTCTCGAGATCGGAAGGCATCAGAACGTTAGGATCAATCTCCACCCCGTTCCAGGAGATCGAGCTCGCCTTCCGGCTGAGGGTTTGTGCTTTGGTAGAACTCTGTCAAGATCGGTGAGTAAATATTTGCCACGGGCTCCATGTCTGCATTCGCGCTTCCGAGGACCGTGACGTGTGGCCTCGTCATCTTGAAACTCATTTTGGCTCGGAGTCTCAGGTTTCGATCATTAAACGAAAGACATCTTCAGGTGTTGCGTCGTATAGGTATGGGGTGGTACCCTCGAGATGTTTGCTCCGCATACGATTTCGAAATTCCCTCGAAATTCCCCAGAATCCGTCTGGGACTAACGTGCATAGGCAAGAAATGAAAGATCGGCTTTCATCAGGTCCTCGTCATGAATGATCATATCATTTACGACATAGGAGTCCGGTGGGAGAAAATCAGGTTTCCAAGGTTTCCATGATCGAGATCAGTTTTCGTCTGCTTGCCTTCCGTGTGCCGAGGAGCGCCAGGCACAATATCCGAGCCTGACGGCTCGAGCCCCATCGGAGAACTCCGGGAGGCCGTCTAGCAGAAATCGTCCGTCAGCTTGCGAAAAACGCATGCTCTAATGTGACCACGCGATCGATGGAGACACCGCGTGCGTCGTGGTTCACTCTATTCGTTCTAAATCAGGCTTTCTTGTCTCAGGCTCACTCCAGGAATGGGTCTATACGGAGGCGGTATCCGACCGAGCTGATGATTCGCGTTGCGCTGCAGTCGATCGCTCTTACAGGGATCGGATGCACGTGAGTCGATCATGACCCGCCAGGATCGTATCGAACGATGCGAGCTTGGAGACAGGGCGGGAGGGAAAGCTTAGCGGAAACTTAGAAATCACCGGGAGACCAAACTCTGCAAGATTGACATCTTCTGGTCCTCCGTACGAAATTGAGTCTCTGAAGAAAATTCAAGCGACGTCGCGATGGAATATATAAGCAGTGATGGGACCCGTCGTCAAACAGGATTCCCCAAAAGAGATTCTTATGTACCTCGGGCCGCTTGGTAGTTCCGTTTTCCGGCATGACGCTATTTCTGGTGGTCCGTAATGATAAGCCGTTCATGATGAATACATTGTCGATGTTCATAGGTGTCATACGTCCATGGCTAGGGTCTTTGGACGAGCGCAACGGTCCCATCTATATTTGTTTTCGGCTTCCTCATGTGACGCTCAGAAATTATGAATATGCGATGCTGTGGGGCGTCGCGATCGAGCGGTATGGCAGGGATCATCCCATGAGCTGTCGAAAAACAAACAAAAACTCATTTTGAAGTGTACCTTCGGTTGAGGTCACGAACAAAACGTCGAGTTCTGGGTCTATCGTCCGTAAAACCTTCATTGATGAGACGTTGACATTCGCCGTGTAAAAGAGTGGCGGTGTCGCCGTTAATTGCGGTATTACTACCCTCATGAGAGAATTTACGGCTCAAGGCTGGGGCTCAGTCGTCGGGAGGAAAAGTGCCGGATGATAAATCCACGAACTCAGGACCCGGGTACCCCCGAAATAAATCCTGGCAACGTTCAGGACGGAAACGGTTTCTTTGCCATCCACAGACCTCCGATCGTAGGATCGAATCTCCGGCTGAGATGGCGCTTTCGAAAGCGAGTTGTGTACTCATGAATGGGGTAGCGCTTCTCTCCTTCGGATGGAGCCAATCGTCATGCCAATAATAATTGATGTTGTAAGCTGATTGCTATCTGCTCACTAATTACGCAAGACGGCAGAAAATACAGATCACTTTCTCATTTCTGGGAAGTGACAGTGATCTAGTCTTGAAAAAGCGCCCCCGACGGCCACTTTCGTCACTGACCTGCCTCTCATGTACTGCTAACTATTCAGTGAAATCCGTCGATCAGAACCTAACAGAATACGGTCGACGGGCATGTACCGGTGGGTATATGCTGCGACTCCGGGAGACA